GGGCCGAATTATGAGTCATGCTGCTTTTAAGGCCACATCACAGGCCTTTCAGAATGGTTCAGTGGGTTTGATAAACAGAAACATGAGGCAAGAGGGAGCCATGATGACTTCGAGCTCGATGGGGGGTCGCAGGTCATTCCACCAATCATATATGCTTCCTAAGGTCCCATAACACTTTTATCCCCATCAAAATGCTGCTTATGTCGTGGCACCGCCTCTCTATGCGGCGATGAATGCACAACCTTATACGCGGCCACAACATTATGCACAAAATCGAGCTCCACCTCCGAAAAATTTCTGTCCCTACCAAGCTCCATATAATTCCCAACCAAATATTCCCCAATACAATCCTCACCCAAGAGATCCCCTCAAAAGGAATCAGTTCATCCTTATTGGTGAATTGCATTCAAGTTTGTTTCAACAGCTAATCAGGCTAGGTCTACTACAGTTAGTAGCCCCGAACCGGACGAACCCCAAGTCCCCCTCACACCGAGCTGATGCTAGATGCGAATACCACTCTAAAGCAATGAGACATGATACTGAAGACTATTGGACTCTTAAAGGAGCAGTGGAAGACCTCATCAAGGTCAAGGCAATAGTTCTTGGGGATGAAGAGGCCCCTAATATGACGAACAATATTATGCCTACTCATACCAATGGGCCAGTAGTTGGAATGATCTGTGATGATGAGGAATTTGATCTGGCACTGAAGGCCATTGAAGCCATCGCCGAGACAGAAGAAAAGCAAAAAAACGTCACCAAACCTTAAAGTTCCCTGATCAGGTCTTTCAACCAACTAATAACCTCTAATTCCACGTCCTTTCGTTGTCCAAAAATCTGATCATTCGTTTGACGCGTATGGTTGGAATCGGCTGCTATAGGACCTTCAATCTGTGTCGAGGTTATTTTTTGACCTTTCTAGGTTTAGATCATAATTATGAACAACCAAAAAACTAAACTTATCATCTTCTATTTTGACTTTTTATTCATAATGATTATTAATATCAACCCATGTGGTTTTCTAAAACTACAACAAGCTTTCCTTCAACTTTCTTAAGGCATCAGGGATTAACGCCCTTGATAAATGCCTCCGCTGCCTACTCATCTGGTACTGCCGGTAGCAACATTTTTTCTTTTTGTAACCTAATCTGGTACTCTCCAAGTAATTGTGAGTCTCCTTGAGCGATTCTGAAGATGTGTGTTTTTCGTGCTTGAACTTTCTTTGCTCCAATGTGAGCTTTAATAAAAGAATATGCAAGCATTTCAAAAGAATCAATTGAATGTTCAGATAAAAGTGAGCAACATGTTAAAGCCTCTTTCGTTAGGGTCTATCCAACTTTCTTTAGCAAAACTATTATGATTTCATATTGAGCCAAATCGTTTCTCTTTACAGCAGTGGTGTACGTTTTAATCTGTTCCAATGGGTACCATATTCCATTGTATTTTGGAATATCTGGCATCTTAAACCTCATTGGAATCAACTCCAGAGCCACACTAAGTTTAAATGGAAACTGTATATATTACTTTGAGTCCGGCCCTTTAGGACCGGAGATGCTCCCGAAATATGGTCCCTCCTAACATGGAATTCATTAACATTTTGATTCATTTGGGTATTTGTCTCTCTCATGCACCTCATGAATTCGGTCCTAAAAGGATTATTTGTGGTAGTTTTATTTCTGGATCCATTACCTGTACCTCCATCCCGGTTATTGTCCGATCTAAACTCCCCCTTAAAGCTACATTACCGGTTCCTGGAACCGTTTGATTTATATGCACTCTAGGAGAGGCTCGAAACTCTATCATTTGAGTTATTTGAAGCTGTCGATATCGCTTGTTGCAACTCAGACATTATCAGGTCCTGTCTTGAGAGAGGGTTCACAATTTTCCTTTGTTGTGCTCTCAAAACTTTTACAGTATCGGCAACAGGTTGATCATCCAAATCATCAGGAGTGGGACTCCTTGTACGCTGAACATTCCTTTTCACCCGACTTAGAGTTGATTTGTTCCCGTCCTAATGAGTTTCACCAGTTGAATCATCTTGTCCCGATCCATTGCGTATAGGATGTACATTACCCATAGGCTCGTTGTTGTTCTTCATACCAGCATTGAGCAAATTATTGACAGCCATAATTACAGTATGCTTGCTAATATTGAATTTTTTTTTGAAAAAAGTTAGCAAACAATGAGCAAATCAGAATAACACCATAATTATCTATGCCTCATGATAGGTGCCAAATTATTTACCCGTAAAAAGATACAGTTGAATTTGTATAAGTGATTTATAGACATGTGGATTAAGATGATCTGCTTAGTAAATTAAAAAGAATAAAGATAATAAAATAAAGTTACTTTACAAAGAACAATCCTGTATTTTAGATAAATTCAACCAGAATCAAGATAATGGGTAAGCTTCAAACACAACATTTCTGTATAAAACTGTGAAAAAGAGAGAAAGAAAGATAGATTTTTAATTCTTGTTGATCGTGTCATTATAATGAGTACAAATGTTGCTATTTATAATTAAATCTGAGGAGAAAAGATCATCAAGTCTCGCCCTCTTAAGATGAATAAGAACTCTCTTGATGACTGCATAACGTTGGAAGTAAATGCTGAGAGTTTCTGTAATGGTTGCCCCTTTAATGTTGCTTTCTCTAATCGGAGCCTTGCTTTCAAATTTACTTTTATGATGTTTGTGTCTTTGGAATTCGCATAATACCAGTCATATGTATGTATTAGGTATTAGCTGATTGTTGACCCATCTACACCATTGCCACATATCTACTCGAGAAACGCCCACCTATAAAATTAAATATTGGTTCTTTAATTTGCATTTCCGTATTTAGCATGCTATGTTTGCTCAAAATATTTATGTGTGGTTCAAATGAACTCACAGGCAAACAAGGAAATATTGGTTCTTTAATTTGCATTTCCGTACTAATTTAGTTTTACAAGTTTTTCATGTAAAATATTCACATGTTGTTCGCATAATTTGGCTCAAATTGATAAAACGGTTATTTGAAGTTGAAGTTGGAAAAGGGCATTTGAAAATAACTTTTTCTTTTTGCTTTTTTGAAGTTCCACCTCTTGGACCTCTTAAGAAATTACATCTTCTATCTGATCTAAAATTTCTATCTAGTAGATTAATGGATGAATAACGTCCTGATTGCGATAAATTTTTACTGTATGGAAAAATAATCTGCAACAAAATATGAAGAAAAAGATTTTTTATCGATTAATATTCATGAGTACAATTCTACGTGTTTTCTTGATTCTTCTTCTAAAGTTCTCCGTGATTCGAGAGCTTGAATAGCATTTTTCTCGAATATAGTTTGATGTGGACCTTCTTGTGATGTATTTAATCTCCAAGAAAGTCGAGCAACACTTCGTCGTTTTGGGTTGATCTCCGTAAAGAACTTTGTTTATCACTTTGTTCTTGTTGAAGAACTATGCGGTTGATAATTAATCTTTCTATTTGTGGATGCCTTCACCAACTGTGGAATACTCTTCTTCAACTCTAAATCTCCCTAGAGAGTTATGTAACTCCTTTATTTATAGTTGTATATGGTAGTCCAATTGCATATGAGGTTTCTTGCTTGATTCTGATCGGATCATGTGAGTCATCAAACTTATCACACAAGTTATGTGATAAGGGTTGCATGACATTGGCCAAAACATGTCATTTTAGACATTTGACGACTTGTGGTTGGTCCTTACTTTTTGACTTGGATTGCCACTTCATTTTAATATGTGGCGTTATCTTGTTGGCTTTTAATTTGATTGGACATGCCATTTTACCTAACACATAGCATCGGTCTCGGCTTTAAGTTGAAATAGACTTTGGGCTTGAAAATAAAATGGACTTATTTAATTTGTCAAGTCTAATTAAACTATTTAACTGAATAAAATTTGATATGTATATGTAATTGGACTTCAAAAAATTCAATTAAATTGTTAATGCTTCAGATGCCCACAAATTTCTTCGGAATTAGCCGAAATCAACTTCTGAAGCTGATTTACATGTCTGCCATTTCGACTTTACAAGACTGTGCAATCTCTCTAAAAGAGCTATATCTCGAGCTAGGAGTATCTAAACTGTGATCTATTTGATTCTACAAAATTTTAACTCGCACTAGTGCGACATATCTAAAATTTAGGGCTTTAAATCCCTTAGGACAAGCCAGAATAAATTTTTGAAAATGATACACATGTCTACTGTTTCGACTTTACAGCACCGCATGTTCTTACTGAAAAATTCATACCTTGAGCTAGGGGTGTGAAAATTGGGAGTCATCCATGCTACTGGAGAGAAAACTCCAAAACACAAAACACTTGAGATTATCACAATTAAAATCCTTTAAGAATGGCTGCAATAATATTTGGAAGTTTGCTCCAGACATCTGCCGTGCTCGTTCTTCAGATTTGTTCGCTCTTGTCGAAAAAAAATCAAATCTTGAGCTAGGAACGTCGGAAATGCGAGCCCTTTATGCTGATGGAAAAAAGACACAGGAACTGTAAAATACCGTGGCAAAACTCCTTTTGTATTTTCCGCAATAATATATTAAAGTCGCTCTTGATGTCTGCCATATTTTTTTTAGCTTTGGTCACTCTCGCTGAAGAATTCGTATCTCAAGCTAGAAATGTTCACATTGCAATCTGTTTGTGCCATTAGAATATAACTCAAAGACCTCAGACACATATAAATTTCATGGAAAAACTCCTTTAGGGCTATCAACAGAAAATTTTCCTATTTGACCTAATGAAGTGAATTTCAGGTTAGCATACTTTCGGCAAAAATAATTGTATCATGAACTAGAAGCGTCAGAATCACCAACTGTTTGGTCCTATGAAATTAAGACGTCAAGAACTATAACTGTATCGAAGATGGAGGCTCCTTTCACTCTTAGTTAGCCTACACATTTTTTAAATTGGTTCTACAACCTTGCATGTCATGACTTTGGCTATCAACACAAATCTTATTTTCTTATTTATTTCTTTTGCAGACTTGCAAATGAGCTCAATAGGTCTTAGTGTCAGACCAAGAAGGTACACAAGATGTGAATATGTTGATGTTTCGAGCAACAAGCAATGAGCAAAATCTCCATGCAAAATACGGACTTGCTGTAGAGAGATCATCATATGAAAGTACCCATTTCCCAAAAGTTGTGTATACTCAAATTTTTGATATCCATGAAGCTTACCCAAGGTGCTCACATAATGATGGAACTTTTGAGGGCGAGGTACATGCTCATGTATGGGAACTTCAAATAGAAGAAGTGGACCAAGAGCCTATGATTCAACAACAAAACACATAGTTAAGGGATTATGGAAGCTGCTATATGCCATGAGCATGCCATCAAGGATGATCCATCATATGGAGAAGTCACGAATGAGTTGGAAACCGTACTTATCTTTCGTTCATCTACACGACTTTATATTCATTGTATAGGATGATTCTCATTCTGCTTTTTATCATTGATGTACATAACCTTTTCAATATTGAAACAATAAAATGGCTTTTATGCTTTGGTACCAAATTATCTTCTTTTTCTCATTTAAATTTGCCTCTGCATTTGAAAGAGTTAATATTATGATTCCATGATGTCAAATTTTATTTTTTAAAACTCATGCGACTAAACTTAGAATGAAACTTTAAGCTCCCTACATACATCAGTGAAAAGGATCAAGTCATAACGTAGTTTAGAAAGATGTGTTTTTTATTTTTACTTTTCATGTTCTAATTATTTTCCTAGGCCGCCTCTCCCGAGGTTTTCATTCTAGCGAACATTTTTCCCCTAATATTTGCATAGTCCGCCTCTTTCGAGGTTTTTAACCTAGCGGACCTTTGTTTTTGTTTTGTGTGTCCCTACACAGTTTAGACTCATGTAGGCCAGGAGTGTGGCAACTTACAGCTTAGGCTCATGCGTTAAGGAGCTTGGTGACTTTCATGTGAAGTACTATTTCAAAAATTTGTTGTTGATCGTACCCACCATATGTAATGATCCGGCCAGTCGTTTTGAGTGTATTAGCCCCGATCCCCTATTTATTTCCTTCACTGTGTTATATTGTAGTTATGTGACTTGTCGGATTGTTTGGTTTTGGTTTCGAGAGAGTTTTAGAGTGAAATGGGACTCATACTCCCTAAATTGGAGGTTTAAGTCGTACGAGTTGACCGTAGTTTGACTATGTGAAGATGACTCTGGAATGGAGTTTTGACGGTTCCAATAGCTCCAAATGGTAATTTTGGTCTTAAGAACGTGTCCGGACGTTGATTTGGAGGTCAGTGGGTCGTTTCGGCGCTAATTGATGAAAGTTTGAAATTGGTGGAATGTTGGGAAGTTTGACCAGGAGTGAACTTTTTGATATCGGGGTCGGATATCATTTTCGGATATTGGAATAGGTCCATAATGTCAATTATGACTTGTATGCAAAATTTGGTGTCAATCAGAGTTATTTTGGTATGTATCAGCGTCGGCTCCGGAATTTGAGTGTTCATAGTTGCTTAAGCTTGAATTTGGGTTGCGATTCGTTGAATTCATGTTGTTTGATGTGGTTTTGGCCACGAGTAGACCCGTTAAGTGTTTTGGAGCTAGTTGGTATACTTGGATGAGGTCCTAGGAGCCCCGAGTGTGATTCAGATCGATATCGGATAATTATTGGACTTACTGAATTGCTGATGCTGGACTTGTTCTGATGTCTTCGCACCTGCAAAGGGATTTGGTGCAGGTGTGGGATCGCAAATAAAAGCCACTAGTCACAGAAGTGAAGTTTTTCTAGTCCAGCTGGGATCGCATTTGCAATCAATTGTCTGCAGAAGCGGACTCGCGGATGTGGAGGCTACCTTCGCAGGAGTGGAACTTGCCTTGGGCTTGACCGCAGATGCGGTCATTTCTCCGCAAAAGCGGTCTCGCATATGCAAGCCCTTCTCGACAGAAGAAAAAGCCCTAGACTTAAGTTGCACCTGCGATGGTTTTTCCGCAGGTGCGGCATCGCAGAAGTGACCTATAGGCCGCAAAAGCAGAAGTCGCTAGGCAGAAAAGGGGAATTCGAGGGTTTGATTTCATAATTCATTTTGGAACTTTGAAAGCTCGGTTTGAGGCAAAATTTTGAGGGATTATCAGAGGAATTATTGGGGTAAGGATTCTTGACTCGTTTTTTGATAAATTCACATAAATATACTGTTAATTACATCTTCTAATTTGTGTTTTGGGGTTTAAAATTGGGGAAAAAGTGTAGAAGTTCTTAGACTAAAATCTTGAGTTTTGAAAGGCGAAATGGGATTGGATTAGAATAATTCTTGTATGGTTGGACTCGATATCGAATGTTCAGATTTTATAATTTTGGTTAGGTTCTGAGACGCGGGCTTGGGTGACCTTTTGGAGCAATTTTTAAATTCTTTTCTAAGACCATAATTTTATTATTTAAATTAGTTTCCTATAATTATATTTATAGTATGAAATTATTTTGGCAAGATTTGAGCCATTCGGAGTTGGAAAAGCGAGGGAAATGCCTTCTAGTTGATTGATTTAGCATGGTTTTAGGTAAGCGACTTGTCTAACCTTGTGTGGAGGAAATTCCCCTTAGGATTTGGTACTGTTGTGATAATTTATGATATGTGAAGGCTGTGTATGCAAGGTGACGAGTGCGTAAACGAGCTAAATGTTGAGATTTCAATTTTAGCTACCCAGTTCTTCTTCATGTCTTAATTGAGTTACTTTAGCATGTTATAGTCATTAGGTTTAGCCTAATTTTACGTGTCTACTTGTCTATCTCTTATTTGCAACTTGTACTACATGTTTAGTTGAATTATTTGCTTCCTTAATTCTGTATTCATTATTTATCTATGGAGATTCTTTATTTGAAATGTGATATCCTTGAAATATCTTGTTGTTGAGTTTGGTGTTGGGTTGCAAAGACTGTGGTTTCTATTGAGGCCAGGTGTAAGCTGTGAAGTGTCATTTTTTTTAGTTTTTATGTTTTGGCTTCCATGTTATTGTTGAGGTGATTATTTGGTTATGTGCACGAGGTTTCTGCAGTGTCGTGATTATTGATACGCATGTGGTGATATAAGGTCTAGGTATTGAAACACATGCAGCAAGATAAGGTGGCTTGATACATATGGCTAGTAAGGGAACTACTAGAAGACATGCGGTGTGATAAGGTGGTCTAAAACGTGGGATGCTATTTCGGGAAAATAATTTTCGAACAAAAATATAAAGGCTCCCGCTGAGATTTAAGGAAAGACTGTGAGTTATTTTTTATAATTTGGGACTATGAGGCAGTACTTCGGGAGTGCGCCTGTTGATATTCTCTATTTGTTGTACTATTTGGTTGTTGTTCCTTAACATGTGAAACTCTTGTTTTCCTTTGGTATAGTATTAGCTTCCTTGATTCCGTGTTGTTATCTTTCCGTAAGTTCTTTATTATTTCATTTCCTTGTACTTACCATTATATTATTATATCTTCTGCCTTATTTTCTTATTATCTTCGGTAGGGCCTTGACCTGGCCTCATCACTATTCAACCGAGGTTTGGCTTGGTACTTACTATGTACCGTTGTGGTGTACTCATACTACGTTTCTGCATATATTTTGTGCAGATCCAGGTACATCCTATCAGCCTCGACATTAGCGCATTGAGTTGCTTACTTTGGAGACTTCAAGGTACACTTGCCCGCGTCTGCAGGCCCCAGAGTCCCCTTCTATCCTGCTTTTTTCTTATTTATTTACATATTCATAGACAGTGATGTATATGAGTGTTTAGTACTGTATCTAGAGCTTGTGACTTGTATCTACACTGCATTTTGGGAGATGTACATGTTGATTTGTAGATTTTATTTTATATAGTTATTGATATTTCAGCTTTTAAATTATTATTCCAGGTATTCCGTATGTTTGTTAGGCTTACCTAGTCTTAGAGACTAGGTGTCGTCACGACATCCTGTGGCGAAAAATTGGGGTCGTGAAAAGTTGGTATCATACCTCTAGGTTCATAGGTATTGCGAGTTACAAGCAGGTTTAGTAGAGTCTCGCAGATCAGTACGGAGACGTCCATACTTATCTTTGGGAGGCTATGGAACTGTTAGAAAAGCTTCACTTCTTTGTTTCTTATAGTGTGAAATCTTTGACTTCAGATTCTAGATTTATGTCTTTCTAATCTCTCACAGATGGTGAAGACACATACAGCCGGATCAGATGAACAGACACTCGCGCCCCCTGCTAGAGCCGCGAGAGGCTAGGGCCGGGGTAGAGGCCAAGAACATCCACGTGGTGCAGCTAGAGCACCTGCACGAGCTGCTACAGAGGAGCCACCAGCAGCTCTAGTTGGAAAGCAGGCACCTAAGATGCTCGTTACTACACCAGCACTCTAGGAGACCTTCGCCCAGTTTCTGACCATGTTCGGCACTTTAGCTCAGGCAGGGTTGATTCCACTTGCTCTTGTCACATCTTAGGCCGGGGAAGGAGCACACTCCCACTACCCATACTCCATAGCAGCGGGTCAAGGTTGACCAGCTCCCAGAGGTCATACCAGTACAGCCAGTAGCTCCAGCTCAACCCGAGGTTAGGGCAACAATTTCTAAGAGGGAGCAGCTTAGGCTCGAGAGGTACAAGAAGTATCACCCTCCTACTTTCAACGGCTTGGCGTCAAAGGATGCCTAGGGTTTTCTTTAGGAGTGCCACTGTATCCTCCGTACTATGGGTATTGTGGAGTCTGGTGGGGTTTCTTTCACTATGTTCCAGCTTAAGGGAGTGGCTTATTAGTGGTGGCGAGCATATGAGTTGTGTAGTTCAGCCGAGGTAACTTCACTCACTTGGACTCAGTTCTCAGATATTTTCTTGAGGGAGTATGTTCCCTAGAGTCTCACAAGCACATGGCGCACAGAGTTTGAGCGCTACGGCAGGGTTCTATGATTGTGCCAGAGTATGCGGTCCGGTTCAGTGATTTGGCTAGGGATGCATCAGCCTTGGTTGCTACTATTAGAGAGCGAGTCCACCGATTTATCGAGGGGCTGAACCCCAGTATCAGATTTAGCATGGCCCGAGAGTTGGAGATGTCCATCGCATACCACTAGGTAGTGGGGATCGCTATGAGATTAGAGGGTATGTTGACTCAGGAGAGAGAGGAGAGGGAGGCCACGAGATCTCAAGATTCTAGCACCAATAGTGGTACTCGTGCCCCAGTTACAGCTCGTCATGGTAGGGGCTATGTGAGTTGCCCTATTCATTTAGCACTTCCAGCTTCTAGCGGTATTCCAGCCACTCCTAGGCCTCTGGCTCCATATTATGCACTGCCACTGTCTAGCACACCTCATGCACAAGGTGCTCTTAGCAGTAAGTCTAGCCGACCAGGCTGGATCCAGCCACAGTAGTCGCGTCATCTAAGAGCTTGTTTGAGTGTGGTGACACTCGTCATATGGTGAGGAATTTCCCCAGACTCAAGAGAGTGCACCTCCATAGACTACTCAAGCTCTGCGTGCTCCACTGGGTTCTCAGGCCATGGTTACCGCACAAGCTACCACTCCACCTGCACAACCAGCT